TACCTAACAGTGGTCACTCAGATGCTAACCTTGTCTGGGACTCAGCAAGCCTTTCCCTTTACATGCCGCTCAGGTTTCTTCTGTAGTTACTCTGTGATGTGTTGTTTTGGAGGCTAAAGCAGGCTATCAATTATTTTTGTCAAAGTATCTATTGAGTAGATGGCAACAGACATAATTTTGGTTCTTAGATGTAATAATTTTGGCCATTTCCTGCATGAAATGCTTTGAGAAGCATGTGAAAAGACATTTGGTTCTCATTGAAAGTAGTATTCCTTATCCTTCGTGATTGTTTGCTAATTAGCAGACAGTTGAATAACTGCTGTAGAATAACAGCCTTCAGTCATTCTTGGACTAGCCTGCATTTGACCGAGCAGGGTGAAAGTGGAGACCTCTATCTAGTATTGCTTGCCTTGTATTGAGTCCAGTTAAATGTCCCATATGCATTTTGTTTTAAATCTGGTGGGTTGATTGCACTGCTGGGGGGCAAGGTCTCTTCTTCTCATGGTACCTAGGAGTCTGGCACGCTTTTGCTATTTGTCAGTGATGTGCTTGTTCAGATTGTGTGGCCTTTGGAGAAGAAAATAAATTGTGAAAGGTGTGCCACACCTCAAGCGGTAATGAAAACTTCCCCCTTCCGTCTCAGCCTCCAGCACTAAGTGTTTATTATAAATTGTTAATACTGTTTGATGAGTCAAATGATAATTTCTTGCTAAAGTAATGGTAACTGTTCCAGTCAGCCTTAAAGGGATTGAAGACTTATTCAATTAAATTTTTTTTAATATTCTTCTCCTTGTGGTTTATCTTTTACAGAGGTACATCATCTGTTGCAGACTGTCCACAAATAAGATTCCCCTGGTTAAATTCCAGGTGTGAGTTTTTAAAATCTTGATAATAAAAGAGCAAGAATATGGCAAGTGTTTGAACTGAAGCTGTAAGGGCATATGGCAGAGTGTTTGGCACGTTAGAAAATCAAGCAAGAGAGAACCAAAGTTGAGTAACTGGAGTTACTGCAAGTTTAAAATCGGACTTTCTGCTGTTGGTGCCTCATCAGCATCTGCAGCATGGAGAACTGCTTCACAACTAACTTCTAGTTAAGCCTTGCAACTCTTCTATGTCAATAGTTGCTTTTAAATCATAGCTATTCATGAGAGCTGAAGTTGCGAAGAGACATTATTAAACATTTGTATTTAATAAAATACTAGAATACTATTGCTACTTATTTTCAAGTAACTGATTTTTTTTTTTAGGCTTTTGTGAGAAACAGTCACCTATGTAGTTTTTAAGAGAGGACAAAGTCGTGAAGCAAAGCTTTATTTCAGCACTGGGTGCATGGGAGATCACCTCTGTGATCGTCCTGCATGCACACGGGTTAGTCTCACTTCCACATATTTATTTAGGACAGTCATTCATATTCATGCCATTTTTCGGAAGTCTTATACATATTTAAATGATTTCCCTGAAGTTATTTACATCTATACCCTCCCACTTGCATCTGCGGACTGTTCTCTAGGGGTCATCTTTGAGCGTCATGGGGTGAAGGCTCAAAGTCTTCCTCTTGGTTGAACACTTTATTCTGGTGCCTGCGCTCCATTGTTTCGGTTATATTACAAACCCAAGTTGACAGTTAATCCTCTCTTTCTTCCATAGAAGGGCAGGAAGGTGACAACCAGGTAGAGACTACTCATGGCTAAGTGGTGTCAGCCAAAGCAACTTAACCCTCTACCCGAATACACACTGCCCTGTCTCCCTCCCCGTACTTGGGTACCTGGAAACTTACATTGTTTCCGACCACCTACCTGTTATGGCTTAAGCAAAACTACAATATTATTTATCACACTTTCTGGTTTTTTATAGCTCATATTCCTGTGTTGGTATAGCTAGTTTAAATGCACTTTTTTCAGACTGAAATTGGTAATTTCTTTGCAAATTTAAAATTTCTCACTGTTATGTACAAAATTAAACTTTTTTCCACATATGCTGCCTTTAGCATGTTATTCCAACAGCTAGTTGCATATATCTGTCTGCTCAAAAAATGCTGAACTCAATAGTGTTTCTAAGAGAAAAGATTATAGTTGTGAATTGCTTGAGATTAGAATCAATTTCTGCCTTTAATCAGAGGCCTAGCTGATACCTGGTATCTCTGTGTTTAATCCCTTTGAATGATACCATATTGTGCAATTCCCTAAGCTCTATTTGAAGTAAACTTGAAGCTTTAAAACCTCTTAAAGCAAGAAAAAAAAAATAGGTATACATATCTAAAAGAGTGCACCGTTTCTGGAACATGAACTTCTAATGTTAATGGTAGCATTGGGTGAATCTGCAGCACCCATATTTTGTAAGTAGTTTGACTTTTAATTAGTTGAGTTCCAGGGTGTGTTCTCCCCATTCTTTTATAGTCTAGTTGTTAGAAAATTATCTGAATACTGCATCTCCAGACCTGAAGGGATCCTCTTTGTCTGTTAATGTGACATGATCCAAAGTCATGATGTATCTGACATCACTGCATGTGCGTATGGAGGAACAAGATGGGTGAGGTCCATCTTGTAATGAAACAAACATTGTCTTCCTTCAAGGAAAGGAAATAAGCTAGGAAATGTTAGTGATGTATTTAAAAATATTACAGGTCACGTGAAAGGTTAAGCATGAGTGCTAAAGAAGCAGTTGTACTACAGTGCAGAAGTCTTCAAGTTGCACAGTTAATCAAGAATTTTTACTTTTTTTTTTTTTACAGGTTGCCTTCATATTCACACCAACAGCCTGCTATAAATTCAAGTTGTGGGCTTGTCTGTTTTTTAACTTACAAGAAAATTCCAGTGGAATGGTTAGAGATGGTAGAGTTGGGCTTGTTCTGGCATAAGTGAGGCTTTGAGCATCTTTTCATGGCCAACATGGAGTAGTTGAAATGGAGTCGATGTCTTCATCATTGAAGATTATTATTTCTTAATATAAATTATTCCTATGTTTAATAACAATTCTACAATTAATAGTAACAGCTATAATATGATTATCAGTTTATCATCTTCTTTCACGATTGTATTTTCTAGGCCTTGTCTCCATGAGTCATAGTGCCTTAATGAGGGACAGCTCCCAACAGCAGTAGCAGTGGGGAAAATGGAGTGTACTCTGTATTTTTAATATCATCTGAGTTTTTGGTGGTGTCTGCTTTTGAAGCCATTATATTGTTTTCCTCATTGCTTTCTCTGCAGCTGCATACATTACAGTATATTAATATTTAAATATATATCTCCAGCAATTATTGTTAATGATCATGCGTCTGTTGTGTGAGCAAGAGTTTGGGTTTGGGTTTTGGTTTTTTTTTCCTTTTGGAGGCATAAAGTGCATTTCTCCTTTTTGATTGTATAGTGGTATCCAAAATGTCACATGGAGAGGCTGGCTTAGAGGGAAGCAAAACCGCATTCTCTAAGAGTTCCCAGGCAGAACTCTCACTACAAAACCATTTTTCCTTATTGCTTTCTCTAGTTCTCTTTTTAGCTAATCTTGAATGCTACAGATGCAGCTAAGAAATAAGAAAGTCTGTTTCAGTAGCTCTCTAGTTGTTTTGTGGGGACTCAATGAAGAGAGATACTCTTTTCGCTGTTCTTTGACACTGCCTGCCAAAAACAAAGGTGTGTTTTGTCTCTGTTGAAAGGTTCACATATGTGATGGGTGAAAGAGGGCTGGGAGGCAGCATGCTGTAGCCAGCAGTTAGTGTGGTGTAAAATATCTTTTCTCACCCCCTGCCCCGCACTTTGGCTGGGCAGGATTATGCATCATCTGCAAGAGGTGCAGCTGAGGCTGCACGTTGTACCTGCACCATCTCCGTCAGTCTCGTTTCAGTGCTGCTGAACTAGCTGCTGTTTAGAATCCAGTATCAATAAGCCTGACTGAGAAATCTGGCAAGAATGGCCCATCGATGAAGTTATCCAAGTTCTATGAATGAGAGGTTCAAAAATTGCAATAAGAAAGCTCATTCCACAGATGCCAAGCATGTTTCTTGTATTTCTTATAGTTTTCCATGAGACAGCATCTCTCTCATTTTTTTACATTGCGAAATATACCACGTGATGGGGCAATTGTTGTTGCTAAATAAAGTGTGTGCTTATTCAGTCTTGAAATTTTACATTGAGTTGTGACTTCTACCTTCGTGTTCAACAATGAAGCAAATGATTTATTTTTTTTTTCCACGCTGTAGTTCTGTGGAGCAGGTAGGCTGTTGGTGGTAAACACTTGATATCAACTTTAGAGTAGAACTGAAGCAGAATCCTCGGCTCCTTTGGCTTTGTAAAAGCTATTAGGTAAAAGAGAGAGGGAGTGTTTTCCTCCCTATCAGTGCAGACTGTGAATACTTTTTATGGTTTTAGGCTGATTCTGGGAATACCTTCAGTTGGTGTTTTTTCATGACAGAGAGCTATCATGTTTGCTTTCTAAGCATAAGGAGTCTTTGGCCAATAAGTGCTTTATAGAGACTTCATTTCATGTCCAGCTAGTCTTGCACCGCATCTTACCCTGTTTCCTAGATACAACAGTTCTGGGAATTGTGGTTTTCATAGATCTGCACCTATGACAGCTGGAACGTAAACCAAATTCTAAATATCCTATCACTAGAGTTGATAGGCTATGGGATATTTGCATTTTACTCATTAAGCAAGTGTTGCTCTGACTTTCTTAGACAACAAAAGAACAGGATTTCCACTGTTGACTATTGGTCATTCTGCTAGTCTATGCTTAAATGTTAGCATACTTCATTCTGCATAAGTGTTACTTGGACCGCATTCTGCCCTCAGCTATCTTGCACAACTTCTAGAGACTAGTGAAAATGAAAGCAGAATTTAGCTTTGAATTTGACTGCTGTTCTAAACCTAATGAGTTTGGCCAGAGGAGTACTGCTGGCAGTGCTGTATTTCAAGGAACGTTCGACATAAATACCCAGTTGAAGGCACTTTCTTTAACAGGTACTCTTGGATTTAAAAATCTGAAAATTTCTTCTTTTTTCCTTGCAGATGACTCTGATACTGGCCTTGGTTTATGTGGATGGATCCTGGTGATCACTTCACTTTTTTTCACTGTTATTACATTTCCTATATCGATCTGGATGTGCATAAAGGTAAAATTGTTCACTGCTACCTTGGATTAAAACCTTAAGCAATGCTTCCTAGTGGTTATTATTGTTTTCTATTTTATTTATTTGTTTTAAACACAAATTAATCTAACTATTCTTTCTTGAACTGTAGCAGACAGTATATAGCAGACCCCAACATTTCAGTGCATTAATCTTCAAACAAACAAAAAAGTGCTATTGCAGTATTTAGTCAAAATTACTTTTGCATTGACATCTTTACTATGTCCACCCAGTTGTCATTAGTATGTAAGCTAGTTTGGAAGATCAGAATAATTGCAAGAATGCATAATTACTGTTGGAGGACTGGTATTTTAAATAGATTTTTTTTTTTTTAAGGAAATCTCTCCCTATATATGTATGTGTGTAAATATGAAGTATGTGAATATAAATACATAAGTATGTATATCATGGGGCTGTATGTGACAGATTCATAGAGACTGTGTCATCTGTGATCACTTTGAGCTTGATGTTTTCAGACAGGAGGAAATAATTCCTGCTTTGTTTTGGCTAATACACTGCATCAGAATTACAGCTGGAAAAATCTCAGCTGGGTCCCATACACCACACTTTGTTTTGGTGTTGCCAGGATATTCCTGATGGCCACTTCTAGTGTGTGGACCTGCCCAGATGACATGCTCTTGCTTCTGCTGTTGATAGATGGTGCCACAGCCTGAATGTTTCTTGTGGAATATTGTCCTGATTGCTCCTTGTGCTGTTTGTTTTTTGACAATAAAGTTCAGGCTAAAACTCTCAAAAGCAGCCAGTATAGAAATGTATGTTACGATTGAGACTCAAGACTGTCTTAGACTGGTGTGTACAACATTTAGCATCCGTCATGTGGCTTCTGGAAACCCTTGCGTGACATCCAGCTATTTATTACAGATTATAAAGGAATACGAGCGAGCCATCATATTCAGACTTGGACGCATCTTAAAAGGGGGAGCAAAGGGACCAGGTATGTCCTGGAGAGCATTCTTAATATTTTTTCTAATTATCAGCAAAATAATAACTGCCTAGAGACATTGCATTAGAATGGCAAATGTTTTTTTTAAGGAATCTTGTAACTTCCAGTAAGAGGGTGTGTTACTTTATATGGAGAAGATGGTAAACTAATTATCTGTGAGCTTTACCAGATCTCTTTAGTTGATGCATGGTCTTAAGGTAGAATCAAAAGCACAGAATGTAAAGGGAGGAATAATGACATCAAATGTGCCATTTTAAAAAAGAAGTTTAGTATGTCAGTTAAAACCCAAATGGTCTGAAAGCCTTCATGTTCTCCAAAAGAAATAGAAACAATTAAATTATTTGATAGTTTTGAAAAATTTCGTGTGTATATTAGAAATTCTGATGAGACCTGAAAGAATGTTATTTTCAGCTGTTGCTCCTGCTGCTCAAAGTGACAGGGACAATAGCTTCTTCCTTCATTTTCATCCAGATTTTGCAATACTTCCACATTGCTGTAAAATTGAAGAATTGCAGTGGTCCACCAGAACAAAAGGAAGTTGATAGTTTCTGCTTGCCAGAATTAAGACCCCCAAGTAACTATGTGGGACAAATTTTCAGAAGTCGCTGTTAACGGTTCTGGTTGGTTTGTTGTATTTTTTTCCAAATGTTAAAGATCTCTAAATAAACGAGACCTGAATAATTTGAAGTTTCTCAACATACTTTTTTGAAAACCTGGGTTTGAAAACCACTAACAAATATGCTGCTGAGCTCGTTACAAAGAGGGCTGTACAGCTACAGGGGTTGGATTTAAGCTTATTTCAGTAGCAAGTTTCATCTGTTTTAATGACCCATTTTCACATCTTCTTGAATGGATTTTTTTCTTGTACAGGCTTGTTTTTTGTCCTGCCCTGCACAGACAGCTTCATCAAAGTTGATATGAGGACCATCTCTTTTGATATTCCTCCACAAGAGGTGAGTTTGCATTTGCCTTTGTATCTGCTAAAGTGTTTGCAGAATTTTTTGCGCTTTTTCATTTTCCCCTCTCAATACTGGGTAGCATGTAGTTTTAATGTAGACTTATTGTGCAGGTTCAATTTATCGTGCAGAATACATATATCCTTTAGTAATATAATTCAATAAGAGAAGATTGCTGAAAGAAAACAAATGATGTGGTCCTCTAAGGACCAAATAAGATAATTTAATATTGTCTTAAGAGCTAGAATGGGAGGGGTTTGGAATGAAGACTGCTGGATTTCACACAACATTCTCTAATTGCTTTTGTGAAATCTGGAAGATTTCCAGAAGCAACGGTCATCTTTCCTGTGCCAGTTTATCTAGATGTATGAACTAGCTAAAATAATGGGATGAAATTATTATATACATCAAATGCTATTAATAGCAACTCAGGGTAATGGTCCGCTCCCTTGTGTGTGTTTTGTGTAGACATTGCTTCTGTGTCCTGCTACACACAGGAACATTATGAAGGTGTACCACACCTAATGTCATCTGACGTCCTTCAGTTTGAAGGTCCTAAAGAACAAAAAAAGTTACTTCTATTTCTAGTCTGTTTTTCCTTGGGCATCTTAATTTTTTAGCAGAATCTCTCCACAGCATTAAGCTAGCTGAACTCAGTGATGCCAACTGAATGGATTACAAAAGAATAAAAAACAACTAGCCCCCTAAAACTTAGTGAACAATTGTATGTTGATGATTATAACTGTATCCCTGATGTATCTGGTGTATTTTGCAAGACAAAGATGCTTGACGCAACCTGTGTGCTGCGTCTGTTTCCTGTCATATTTGCTAGTCGGTTTATTGCTCATCATTAGCTGTAGATTTAGACAAATGGCAACTGTCATGGTACACTCTAAAGGGTAATTGGTAGAAACCTAATCACTGGCAGGCAAGATGTGCTTGCAGCTGCTGATGTGCCATTAGTGAAGCCATCAGATCTATGGTTTTTCTTTTGACTTGATTAAGTTATGCTTATGGATTTAGGTTTGTTTGTGTTCTGTAGGTAAAAGCAGAAATATATTTTTATTTGTACAACATGATTTCTGTGCATGCTACTCGTTCTTTGTTTCATATCCACTCATATCTTATGCTATTATGAAAAGCCTGCTAAAGGAGGTAGTTTGGGGAAGGACAGAGCGGGTAAGTCTTGAAGGTTAACTCACATGTCCCTCTCTTTTGTCAAGCATCATAATAGTAATTATCTAACATGGAATTAGGATACCTCTTCTCATGATCATGCAGCATACTTCAATCTCTTTTTAATTTAACTTTAAAATATAATTAATATTAATACTTATTTCTGGTGTACCCTTTTCTAAACCTTCAACAATATCTGTCTTTATCTTTGCAAGTACATGCTTGCTTAACATACAAGTGTTAAATTCAATATATCATTTGATTGCTCACAAATTGGATTTCCTCTGCAACTTGTCTAGAAATCGCCACATACACATTTAATAGCACAAGGTGGCATTTCAGTTGGAAGTACCTCCAAGAAGGACAATGACCTGCTAGACAGTAACGGAGATATTCCTAATTAAATGTTGAAGTAAGGCTGACATCCATGCAGCTGAAATACATCAGGCCATTGGGACAGGCAAAACCTTCCAGTCTTTTCTAAAATATCTCCTGGGCATGGCTCTCTGTTTCCCTAAGTTGCATTGTACGCTGACATTCTTTTTTACAAAGTTTCAGCAGTTCTTCAAAGTCACTTAGATAGCCACTGCTGTTCTAGAGTCTCTAGTGTTGGCTGTTCCTATGTTATGGAATAAGCAGTAACACAGAACTGCCTTCAGCTGTGGTCACACCTGTGGGATGGCAAACTCTCATTTGTGATGTTGCTTTGCAAGTGCAGCTGAAATACTTCCCTCACCTGCTTTTGGCCTTGTTTTATGAACTGATACACCTGCAGAGTTACGTCTTGCTAAATAATAGCCTTGTGACTGAAGTTAAATACAAGTGAAAATCTAATGTGTCCTATATTTGCAATGATACTCATTATTAGCCTTTTTTCTTTGTACAGAAACATCAAGTGAGCCTCTCATAAATGTTTCCAGCGTGTGCTCTTAACTAGAGTTCTTTAACCTATTTTGAATGTAGTGGTCCCATAGTCCCATCTCTGCATTTAAACAAAATAACTGAGTGCTAATGTTCTTTGAGCCTTTTCTGTTAACCTTGGTCTTTCGTTATGCTTGCCTTTTGCATTCCTGTACAATCTGCCTCTTACACATCTGTTATTATAAGCCTCACTGAAATGTAGTGGGGGGTACCTACCTGGTTATGATAATGTTGCTGGTTTCAGAATAACAGGTTAAAGTTTCCCAGGTGAAAGAGCATATGTATTTTGGTGTAAATTATTTCTGATGATTTTTTTTTTTACTGTCAGTTGTGTGAATTGCAGATCCCTCTGAATTTGAAGACATGAGTTAGAAATAACATTATGGAAAGCTAACGGAATATATTTTTCAGTGAGAAGTGTTCTAATCCCATATTTAATGTTACCTTTGCAGAGCTATGCTGGAAGGTTTGTGCATCTGTACATAGACATGTTCATGTACAGCATAGGTGTATAAGACCTTTTGTTTTCAAGATGTTTGTTTTACCCAGGAAAAAGTAGGAGTTTGTCGTGTAAAAACAAATACATAATTGTCATAATAATTAACCATATATTTAATGAATATTATATGCTTTCCCCATTGCTTTTTAGATCTTGACCAAGGACTCTGTGACAGTTAATGTAGACGGAGTGGTTTATTACAGAGTTCAGAATGCCACCCTTGCTGTAGCAAATATCACAAATGCTGACTCAGCCACCCGTCTTTTAGCACAGACTACTTTGAGGAATGTTCTGGGGACCAAAAACCTTTCTCAGATTCTCTCTGATCGTGAAGAAATTGCACACAGCATGCAGGTATGAGCAGCTTTACCTAAGCAATCCATAAAATGATCAGTTACGCAGCAATCCCATGGATAACTTGCAGGTCAGGATTTATTTCACCTTCTAAGTGATAAGCCAAATTGTGATTTGGAGCTTTAGGCAAAACCCTGTCAAGAGCTATTGGGATGGCATTCTGTAAAATAAAAATTAGTGACTAAAGCAATAATGGAGCAGTGGGGTGGTGAGTGGGAATGAAGGATACAGGAGAGGAGGGCTTCCCTGGATCATTATGTCAATACTCTGCTGTTGAAGGAAATTATGCCACAGAATTCCTTCAATGTATTAATCAAGCTCTGGGGGTTTTTTTGTTAGTTTACAACAGTTATGCTTTTATTATTATCAAATCATAATATAAATACTAAAGCCCTTAAAGTCCAAGAATTGTAAGATAATTCATTTGATATATTGGTCATTCTTCAAATTTGGACATTCGTTTGCAGCCAGGTAGATGGCTTAACTTAACTGTCTTGCCTTATGTAGGCCACCCTTGATGAGGCGACAGATGACTGGGGCATTAAGGTGGAACGTGTGGAGATCAAGGATGTGAAATTACCTGTGCAGCTGCAGAGAGCAATGGCTGCAGAAGCAGAAGCTGCCCGGGAGGCAAGAGCTAAGGTAAGAATATCAACATGTGGGTTTGGATGTTTTTAATTATTTTTTCCTTTAAGAGTAATTTAATGTGGTGATGTGGAGGATGAAGATTCTCAGGCTGATTGTGTTGTAGCAAATAGGAGTGCAGGACAGGGGTTTTGCGGATTTGTGTCTGGGTGCTTGCTCTGTTTCGTTGTGGTTTGTGCAGGCGAGATTTCCTTCAAAAATGCAGAATCTCAATTTCTTACCACACTCCAAATCACAAACAGAGCGATTTTCAGGTTATTAGCTGGAGCCTGCAGTGAATTAGAAGACAAACTTCCAGCTTTTTCCTGACTAACCCTGATTGTAGGCAAGTCCTTTGTTTTCTGTTTGTTACTTCATATGAGAAATAGAATAGCTGAAATACTTTTTTTTGTCACCCTTAAGCTGACCAGCGATCAGTTTGGTCATGACATCTTATTCCCTTCTGAGGTGGGAGAAGGTGATACTAAATATTGAAGAAGTTTGGAGTAAAAATCGACAGGGGCAGTTAGAGCTGTACTTTTCTAGGACTTGGGCAAGTGGGCTTCCTCCCTCAGTGTTCTGTGCCCTGCGATTTGTCCCCTCTGGTTTGTTAATCCTATCTCGAAAACTTATTTTGACCTCTCTAGGTGCAACTGTAGATTATGTTTTAAAAAAAAAAAAAAAACACAAACAAAAACCTTAGCTGTCCCTTTATTTGGTAGACTAAGCTGATAGATGAGAGTTTCTGGCAAATATTAGTGGTTTGTTGACCGGCCTGCCTGTAGAAAAATGGAACTTGCATTCTAAATACTAAAAATTTGTCTTTGCAAAGGGACGTTTACTAGAGTTCATCTAATGCCATGAAAATTACATCTAATCTTAGGATGTTTGTATCACACACGATTTTTATGCACAGAGATAGGACTGATTTTCATATCTGCCATTAATTAGGAGTTTCATTAACTTTAGCCTATCTTCAGGTTGTAATTATAAAATTTGATTTTTATTTTCATGGAAAATAAATGCTAAGCTGAATTTCATTAGATTTTGGGGCTAGCAATTTTTGAATGTAAAGTTGGAGGTGTAACTAGGAAAAGATCTTTAAGCCTACATAAGTGCTCCTAATATTAACTTCCACATATTTTTTTTGAAGCCTAATTACTTTGTGGTTATTTTTTATTATTATTTATTCTGATATTTAAAAGACTATTGCACCCTTGGAATAGGGGGAATTGTAGGGGAATATGCAGTTGCCTGTGCTGGCACGCACGTGAATTGCCTCACCAATCACTTACCTGTTAAAACAGTGGCCCCTTAATCCAGCCGTCCTTTGCAAACGCTCAGAAAATATTCATATTGTCCCAACGCAGAAGGGCCCGGCTTGTAAAGAAATGCATGACCACAAATCTGTCCCTAATGAGCTTGTAATTAAAAAGGAGGAGGGAATAAAAAGGTATTTCCCCAGTAAGAAACATGCCACTTATTTGTGAAGCCCTTGTAGAGACAAAAAAAATACAGCTTTAAGTAAAAACTATTTTCAGATACATATGGGGAATGCCTTCTGTTTCTGAGAGGCAGTGCTGAAAGAAGCACAAAATAAGTTTTTGAAAATAGAACAAATGCACCCATTGCGTTTTCAAGACACGGTGCCAGCTTTGATGATCTGGCATCCTGATACTGAATGGGAGGAAAATGGGCATACAGGGCCTGGAAAGCAAACGGGAGCAGCTTATGTCTGAGCGAGGGAAAAGGCAGAGCTGCTCAAAGAACATGGTAAGGGGAGGTCACTTGATCAAAGTGATGAGCAGTGTCTTTGGTATATGACTTCAGGCTGAAGTCATCTACGGATTTCTAGTTTATTACTGTGCCAGAATGAATTCAATTTCATTAATTTTGCTTCCCCAGGTAATTGCAGCTGAGGGTGAAATGAATGCTTCCAGAGCCCTGAAAGAGGCATCCATGGTTATTACGGAGTCCCCTGCTGCTCTTCAGCTTCGTTACTTGCAGACCTTGACCACCATTGCTGCGGAGAAGAACTCCACCATTGTCTTCCCGTTGCCCATAAATATGCTGCAGGGCATCATAGGTGCAAATCGCTAGGTAGAGCGGGAGGAGAGTGTTTGGGATGGGTTTTTCTGCTACAGCGAATGTTTGCGACACTGAATTCCCTGTGTATTATAGCTTATGGCGGTGTTAACAAAGTGGATTTGTTGAAGAACCTCTT